ATGCCAGAGGAATGATAAAGGAATCATTATTTGGTAATGTTGGAATTTTGCAGATCGCAACAATAACAACAAAGTGGGCTGTATCTCATTTCCCAAGATATATTGAAAAAGTAATACACTGAGGAAACTACATGGAAAGATTTTAGAAAGGTAAATTGTTCCACAATCCTAACACAATTATAGAGTAAAGCCTATGCTAAATTAGTCTTGGGCCATGTCAGTATACCTGCTGTGGGTTAGCCCCAGTCAGCGATCAAGCACCACACAGCTGCTAGCTCACCTCCCACTCCCCCAGTGGGATGGGGGAGAGAATTGGAGAGAATTGGAGGAAAAAGGTAAGAGAACTCATGGGTTGAGATAAGAACAGTTTAATTATTAAAAATAAATGAGATAAAATGAAATGCAATAATGAAGCTACTCATACTAAATACTAAGTACTAATACTCCTAATAGGTAATGAAAAAATTATAATTAAAATACTACTACTACTGCTAATGACAATAATATGTAATGAAAAGGAAGACAACAATGGGAAAAAAACCCAAATGATACAGCAGCCCACCCCCCCCCCCCCCACGGACTGAGCCCCAGCCAGTCCCTGAGCAGCAAGAGTGAGAGCCAGAGAGAAAGACAGTGTCTCCGAAAGACTGAGAGCACTCTGGGGGAGCCCACCCAGCCAGCTCCTTCCAGTTTATACACTAAGTGTGATGTTTTGTGGCATGAAATGTCCCTTTGTTCTGTTTGGGTCAGCTGTCTTGGCTGTGTCCCCTCCCAGACTCTTCTAGAGAAGGAGCTGGGAACACAGGTGCAGTGTGAGAAACTGAAAAAGTCCTTGGCTTAGTATAAACGTTACTTGGCAACAACTAAAAACATGTGTGTTATCAGCACAAATCCAAACCATAGCCTCATACTCGCTACTATTAATAGAACTAACTTTATGCCAACCAAAACCAGCACAATGCATGGGCAACTCAGTACTTTGTACCTATGTTTAGGCACTGAACCGAAGCCTTGATTTCCTTTGCATGTGATGGGAGTTGGGATACACAGCTCACACGTAATCCCTAGGTCAAGAGAATTGGCTTTTCCCCTCTACTGAGCATTCGTTGTACCACATTTGGAATATGGCTTCCAGTTACGGAGCCCCCACACAGGAAAAGTGCTGATGAGCTTGCCTGAGCTCAGCGTAGCGCCGTGAAGATGATCGGAGCGCTGGAAGATATAACCTGTTGCGGGAGGCTGAGTGAGCTGGGCTTGTGCTCTGCACCAGGGGGGTGCAGCAATAACGGGTGTGGTAAAATAGCTGGTTTTGTAAGATAGGCTAAAGCCAGGAATATAGATAGCAAGGAAATCTTAGATTGTTCTCAACTCTTTTGTGCAGCATCAGACAGAAAATCTACATCTTCCCTCTGAACACCACACAGATGCTGTCTGTGGAGAGGTTCCTCCTCCCTTGCATGTCACGGAGCTTTCTATTTTGTGTAGCAAGCAATCATGTGTCTTCTCCTGACACGCTGGGATGTCATCTCTGTCTCATCATTTGCTGATGCACAGCCCAGGCTTTAAGTACAAGGCCCAGTAGATCAGACATGTCCTGTTCAAGATCACTAACTCCTGTAATACAACATCTGCAGGGCTCCCGGTACACCTTGTTCAGCCTGGAGGAGAGGTGGCTTCAGGGGACCTAACAGTGACCCCCAGTACCTATGGGGATGCTAGCGAGAGGTCAGAGCCAGGCTCTTACTGAGGTCACGGCAGAAGAATGAGAGACGGTGGTCAGAGTCAGGGGATGATCTGGTGGCACATAAGGGAAGATTTTCCACAATGAAAATAACTAAACGTTTGCACTCCGGTAGGCTGCAGGGACCGCTACCCAGCGAGTTTGTGGGGTCTCTGCTCTTGGAGGTTTTCGAGACCTGACCGGACAAACCCTAAGTAAATTGGTGTGGATCCAGTGTTGTCCCTGCTTTGAGCAGCTGTGTGATTCTGTAATTCTGAGCAGATACCTAAATGTAAGTCTTAAGCTGTGAGCTGCATCCCTCCCTACTAGATAACGAACAAACATTAGATGAGAGCCCACACCGAGAAATTCAGCAGAAGTTAATTAAAATGTGCCTTCCCACACTACTGAAAGTAAATAATTTAGGAAAAGAATTTGACTTGGACAGATATGGTTTGGAAAGAAGCAAAGCTGGGCAACAGGAGAAGGACACTATTGGAGTAAAAGAACAGCTAAGACTGCTTAAACATTTTCATCTGTTACTCTGTTTTTCTTTTCTCAACGAGTTATATTCCCAGAGTGGATTCAATTTCAATATAACATTATCCTGAATGTCTGCTAGCGTGGGTGAAAAAGATGGAAAGGGCACAATTATAAAGTTATGAAACCATTAACATATATTGAACTGATTATATGCAAGATGGAGTAGTCCTACATAACTAGGACAATTTCTCCCTTTTATAAACATGGCAAAGGGTACTTGTTGAAGTGCGCTTGCCCTTTAACCCGTGTCTACATTCTGGGCCTGGCACCTATTACAGCATGTCTGCAGCCAAGACAGTGTGCGCCATGTACGTGTGTGCGCTGCGTACGTGTGTGTGCCTAGGAAGGGTTGCATGTTCCCAGGGATCTTGTAGGACTACTCTAGGTGTAGGTGATAAAACACATGTGCCTGAAATACCAATTCATTATGCACTGTGAAAATCTTACAGATATATGCTTCTGGTACTACACTCCGGTTAGTCTTCCAACAGTATCCCAGGAGTGACCTGTGTTGCATATTGGTTTTTTTACGCATAATTCCTTGATCATCTGTCAGATCATGGAATATAAATTTATCTTCTGTTCCTGGCCCTGGGCTTAGTTTTCTATTCATCATGTTCCTGTTTAAACCCACTTAGTCCTAGCTCTACCTATGTGAAGATGGCTACACTGCTAGAGGAATAAAGATCCCGTCTGGCTTTTTGTTAACTCATGGAGTGAGGATGGTCAAGGTAAATTACTTTGCAGCACACACCTACAATTTTGTCTCCCTCTGAAGGGAGAACTGGACATCAGCCAGCCTGCTGTGTAGCGCAGTGTTTGCCATCAGAAGAATTGCCAGGGATTCTTGGTCTGTGGCCAATTCAGTATTCTGCAAGTTGCTGGGTGATGGGATGGTGAGGGTATAGGCAAAACAATTTGTTACCTTATGGTCTTGCCATGCTGTTTCCCACTAATCAGGATAGATTCCAAAGTGTGGGGAAGACTAAAAGGGAACAACCGCAAGAATCCAGGTTTCATACAAATAGGTTTCCATTTAGGAAAAAAAAATATCAGGTATATTAGATTAAGTTGTTGTGATTCATACTCTTTGCAAGAGAGAAAAGCTGTGGTAGAGTCAGGCAGCTGCAGCAGTGTTCAGCCAAATCTGGATTATGGATACTTCTATCTGCTGTTGGTGGCAAAGTTTCGTGAGGTTGTTCAGCTTGTCTGTTGTCTGTTCTCATAGTCTCAACCCTCACTGGAGGTGTTAACATCAGTCCTGTGGTGGGATGGAAGGGGCAAAGAGGTAGAGAAAAGAGATCATGCTTGTTTTATAAACCGTTGTAGTCTCTCTCAGCAACTTGTTTATGAATTTTGCCCTTCTCCTGTCTGTCAGTACATGAAAACATTTAGTGCCAAGGAGATGGTAGTCTGTGAGGTTCCTCAATCAGTTGCACAATGTAGTCATGATCACAACAGTTAATCAGTGTAGGTGCAGGATGGTGTACTATATATGCAGCATAGACATACCATTAACCCTATTGGTTTCTTCTTCAGAAAGTCTTCAAATTTCCAGTCTCCCAACTATAACCAAAAGGATATGAGTGCTCTAGCTTCAGACAAGATTTCATACAAATATGTGTTATCTTTCATATTAAATTAATTCATTATATTAAATCTCTCTTTTGTGATTGAGGGCAGACTGAGTGAGAACAAATGAAATTAAATCAGCATTGCTATTCTTATCTGCCACTAAGAGTATGCGAAATTCATACTGCAAGGTTGAAGAAAAATTAAATTCTTTTGGTCATGACACAATTTACTCCACAGAAATAAAAAGGATTAGGTACTGAAAAATGACCTCCCAGCCTTTAGCACTAGAATAGAGACCCTTGGAAATTGTTTTGTTGTAGAGACCTTCTCCTCAGTTGGATTTCCCACTGAATTTTCACTTATTTTTCTATTAAATTCTCAGTAGACTCACAGTCCCATTAAAAGTAATTTATTTCACATGTGTTCTTTTTCTTTTTGCTGAGAAAAAGCCTCTAAGTCTCGACCCCGTCTTGAAATAAAAAGGTTATTTTTAGGGCAGTTAAAATTTTTTTTTTTTTTTTCAGAATCAGGTGACTCCAAAAAAGAAGGAGAAAAAAAAAGCTATGGAAAAATGTATTCCTTTGTCTCTGCTGCATTTACGATGTGGTTGTGCCCCAGGAGCCTAGAGAATTGCAGTTACGATGCGCCTGAGCTCAGGGACCCAACTTTCCATCTACGTATAAACATTCCTCCCTCTTCAGCCGAAGCAGGCACTTCTGGTTTGCGTAAAAAAATATTTGCAAGAACTCTCCCAAGTCAGATCACTGAAGTAAGATTCTGGCCACAGCTATTTACAAGTTCGGGTTTTGACTGAAGTAAGTAATTGAATTACGTTGAGCCTCTGAAGTTTGCCTTTTATTTATGTATTTCCCCCAATTGTGTGGCTCGGTCTGCCATTGGCTGCAGTCCCTGCAGCCTACCCGAGGGCTCTGCAGTTACATAAGGCTCTGCTGGGAGCCTATATAAAGCCTTTTTGCACGCCAGCAAGAGACAGAATTTTATCAAGATCCAGGTCCCACAGCTTTAGTTCGCACAAGCAGGAGGAGATTTGCTTGAAGATATACTGAAACCTGAACCCCGGCTGGCTTGTTTGCTAGCCAGTACTTCACAGCTGTCAACCTGAGTCGCAAGTAGCAGCTACTGTAAGTAGCTCCTGTGCACTATGAAGAATTTTTCATTTCCTATGCAGGATAACACACATGAGACCGAGAGTACTTCTCACAGATTCCTCAGTTTGAAAAATCAGTCAGATCCTGTTGGAAGACCAGAAAGAGATGAGCAATTAGCTCAGGTAGAGATTGCCGTACTGGGGGTCATATTTCTGACAGCATCTGTGGGCAATTTTATTCTCATACTGGTGCTGTGGCGAAGAAGAAAGAAGCTCTCTAGGATGTATGTATTCATGCTTCACCTCAGCATCGCTGACTTAGTAGTAGCCTTTTTTCAAGTGCTGCCTCAACTCATATGGGATATTACAGACGTTTTTATAGGGCCAGATTTCTTGTGCAGAATTATCAAGTATTTACAATTGCTGGGCATGTTTGCCTCTACTTATATGATAGTGGTAATGACAGTGGACAGATATCAGGCAGTTTGCTACCCTATGGTCACTTTCCAAAAGAAGAGAGCTCTCTGGAACATCCCCATTTGCACCAGCTGGTCTATATCACTGATTCTTAGCCTACCACAGGTATTTATCTTTTCTAAGACTGAAATATCTCCAGGTATCTTTGAATGTTGGGGTGAATTTATTCAGCCATGGGGTCCAAGGGCATATGTGACTTGGATTTTTGTAGTTATATTCTTTATTCCCTCAGCCATCCTTATCACATGCCAGGTTAAGATTTGCAAAATAATCAAAAGAAATATATATGTGAAAAAACAGAATGAATATGAACTAACAAATCAGAAGCAAGCCCTGCCATCCCGAGCAAGCAGTGTGAACTGTATTTCAAAAGCTATGATCAAGACTGTAAAAATGACAGTGGTGACGGTTGTTGCATATGTTCTCTGTTGGTCACCTTTCTTCATTGCACAGCTGTGGTCTGTGTGGTTCCCCAGTGTCGTGACCGAAGGTAAGATACTCTCCATCCTCATTCATAACTTCATAGCCAGCTAGCACATTGCTGTATTGCTCTATATTTGCACTTTGCTTTTGTGTGAAAGTTGCGTGGGATCATTTGAGTATGATTCAAAGGAAAATCCTGGATTGATTATGTGCTATATTTAATTAGGTACAGAAAACCTCATGTGTTCTGTGATGAAAACATTGTGCAAGTATGTATTTTCTGTGTGTGTATGTTTTGAGTGACTAATGATTTAAAGATTAATAAGCAGCATGAGGAAAAGTATCATCTGTTCCGGCAAGGGTTCAGACTTTTAAGGGTTTTAGATATTATAGCAGCAGTATTTTGTGTTCTGGAGGTGAAATAGTAATTAACTATTCAAAGTAATAAAATAAAGATTTCTTATTCACTGGATAGAATAGTGATGTTAGAAGACATCTGATTTTGGTTTTTTGAATTTTGAAATCATACTGATGAAATGTCTGTAGTAAACCATGAAACAATTAAAAGTTGTGAAACAGCTGTTTGTAAAGCAAAAAAAGCAAGCCTGGGAGAAGTATCAAAGACCACCATGCTGACAAGATTAATCTTGTCAAACTTATACTGTTGCCTCTTTGTGAAAGGGAGAGTCTGTATGTGGCTTTATTTAAGTTCACCTATTCTAAATTCAAAGATACAAACCAAAGGAAAAACAAAGATAATAGCTCTGATAAAAAAAAAAATCCTCTGTTTTTAGAATTCTTTCTGTCAGTGTGATTATGAGTCTTGCTATACATATATTTATATCAATATAATCTGTAGTTATTTGTATCCGCATAGCAGGTTAGCAATTGCTTTTAAATTTAATGCCGCTACATCAAAAAAGAGCTATATGGAACTATTTAAGTCTGAAATGGATAAAGACAGTGTGCTTCATAACTCCAACAATTACAAAATTCATGGAAAAAAGGGGAATTTCCTATTATTTAATTAACTTTAATGTATGAGCAGGTACACCAGAAAGCAGCAGAGTGTGAAAATGTTACTTATTTGTATGAGCACTTTTTTACTCTGTTATCCCTTTAACTATTTCATTCTAGGTTCAGCATTCACCATTATCATGCTCCTTGGCAATTTAAATAGCTGCACCAACCCATGGATTTACATGTATTTTTGTGGCCACATTCCATACTGCACAAATAAACAGCTAGAGAACACCTCGGCTCAAGAGGAATCAGTGATCACAGGGAGCATTCATCTCGTAGACAGAGACCCTGAGGAAAACAGTACTTCTGCATAAATGTTGAATGCTTTTTGTTGTTTTGTTACATTTACTATGTTTGCAAGACATGTCTATATTTTACCACTGTCCCTTGTTTTGTGGATAAGGAAGCTGGAAAATTGTCTTTTGTTGTATAAATATATTTCTCTGCCGTTCTGTAGCTTATACAGGAAGTTTCTGTGGTGTGCAAGCCTGGCTCAGTACTTCCATCACCACTGTGTTCATCAGAATGAATTCTTGTAAAGGCTGACAAAGATACATAAAAGTATCTTAGATATTTTGTGTCCTGAAGTACTTTCTCTTCTGTGATTCTGAACTTCTAAGTAGTAAAATTTTACCACTAACTGGTCAAAAAATTTGAAACATAATTGGAACGGAATCTGACAGAATAGACTTGGATATGTGTTCAAGTTGAACCATGAATAGTTCACCATTCAAGTATGATTGGGGGACAGTTTGACAAATCTTGAGGAGGCAGCAGAAAGTCAGAAAAATCCATTGCCAGCTATTATTAATACCTGTTTCAAATTGACTACTCATTTACTTTTATAAAATACCTAGCAGCTTAATATCCTTTTTCTAACAAGAATTCAGTATCCTTGTGACACTGAACGCCTGCTTCAGTTTCAAATGCCATTGTGGATCGTAGGAGATCAGCAGCATAGTAGCAGTCCAGGTTTGTGGCTTCAAACCATGGAATTTATCTCTCATTCATTCCCTGATGTGCAAGCAGTTAATTGAAAGTTCCCAGATACACACACACACGTACACATACTTAAAATAAAGATGGGTGCCAGGAAACTACACTTTCATTTGGTATTCAGACCTATTTTTTTCTGGCATGCAACTTATTGACAGAGTATACTCAGAACCCTTTCAGGTTCAAATTCAATTATTTCCCCTTTGCGGTAAAAATAAATCTGCATATCTTTATCTCAAAATGCCATGTGCTTGCTAGTTTGGGGCTGTTTTATGCAGGTAGCTATTTATTCCTCTTTCAGAGTCTGCAATCTAATCAGACTATAAAGGGATATCAGCAAGGCTTTTTCACGTGAAAATAGAGCTGCATTCACAGAGATTCTTGGTGATGCTTGCATATCATCTTCCTACATTATACTGCATTTCATCAGTGCTATTCACATTTCATTTTTATGAGTGCTAGCAATCTCAAATTTCAATGGAAAAACTAAAAGAAGTGTAAAAAGTGGGGGTCTTTTAATAGTCTTTGAATTGTAGTCAAAGAAATACTCATTTAAACTAAATACTGATTGAATCATGAGAAGTGCTGTACAATGAATACTTACTCTTCAGGTTAATGTGTGCTGATATGACTGGATATTCTATCATTTCTATTTCCTTTGTAGTTAGACCAGATAGGAGGATAAACAAAATATTGCTCTTCTTTATGATGGGCAAAGCTAGTGTCCCTGTCCAGCTGGCAAGAAGAACAGGTCTTCAGCAAGTAGAAAGAAGAAGGAAGTGGATGAAGATAGTACCAGAACCAAACAAGAATGGGAGGAGTCTGTAGCAACTCTTTTATTATAATTGCAATTAATACTTTTTTCTTGCTGTTTCTGGTTTGGTTTTTGGTTTTTTTTTTTCCCCTCTTTAATTAATAGTTGATAGTTCTACCCCACAACATTTCCGCAATTAGACCAATTCCGTAACTCAAATGACAGTGTCATTATCTGGAGAATGAACATCCCTTGTACAATCCATACTATTGATAGAATATGTGTTGCATTCAGCCACTGACTTTCTAAGACTTTCATTCAAATTAGCTCTCACTTACGTTCTCCTTAATGACTTAATCCAATATTTAATGGTGGTTTCTTTTGATTGTAGTTAATTACATAGTAAAATATGCAGTGTTGAAGGGAGCTGCAAACAGAAAAGCTACAAGGAATCATCTGTGTCATACTACTGGATTTGCAGCAAAACACACTGAAAGCCTCAAAAGGTATACATTTGCAAGGAAAACAGGAATTCAAATTCCATGCAAATAGTCATCCAGATCCAGAACTGACATAAGTCACAGTACTGCTCAGAGACTGCGGTGGAGCCGTGCCATTTTACACCATTGATCTGGCCTCTGATATTTAAAAAGTATAACTTCTATGACTTACATTTCCACATTGCTCATATATTTGTTCCTAGCTCTATAAATAATTTGGTAGAGCTTGATTTCTCAAATAACAGTAGCTCGATGTGTTCTGTAAAAGTCTGAGACCAATATTAACTGTCCATATTTCAGCTATTTTGATCATGTAATGAATGAAATGGCAGAACTGAAGTTCAGTAATGAATGCTCACTGCCTGTAACGTTCAAAACAATGATATCCCTCAAGTGCTTTCTTTCTGATTTTTAAATTTTCTTTCTCCTGAGATCTGTCCTGCTGTTAAGAATTAAAATAAAGGTTACTGTACTGTGGTGTCAAACTACAGGCTATGGACACTTTTAGTTTCATTGCATCAGGAGGTGTTTGAATGGCAGGTATTCCTGCTTGTTTTCCTAACAAAGTGGATTGGGCTGCATTTTCCAGATGTAAGTCATTATCCCACATGGCCTGCTCTGCCTGCCCAACGGGCAGCACTGACTCCTGACAAACACACTCAATGGTGAGTTTGGTTCTGGGCCACAATTTTCTGTCAAAACTAATTTTCAAATGATGGAAAAGTCATCTTAATAACTCTTTGTTTTGTAATAAAGTGTCCTTTACAGAACTTTTCTTATTTCTCAAAGAAGAAGACATTTAAATATATAATGATTTTTTTCTATTTGTAAATTTGGCCATCAGTTTTACGGGTAGTTGTAGTTTGAACATCTCATGCCTTTGTTTTCCTGTATATCTTGACTCTTCAGCTGGACCATCTCTATTCCAATTCACTGTCACTTTTCAATAATCATTACAGTGTCTCATTAAGAGGGATGACTGGGAGACATCAGTGTAGTCTGGCCAAGGTGTTTAATCCGTATAGGAGAATCAGTAACTTGAATGTGCAAGTCCCTGGAGGCACTGTGGAAGCACATGCAAATGAAAAAATCCAATTTTCAGATGAAAGCCTTCCTCATCAATGCCTAGGTTCTGTTTTCCCACACAAATAATTTCTGAGCAGAAAAATTCATAGCAATACAAGTTCACACTTTTGAAATGAATAGCTATGTTGCTGATACTAGCACTGCAGTATAGTTTCTGATTTTAGGTTTTTTGGGTGGTTTTTTTGTTTGATTTACCAGGTTTGTATTACCACTTAGGAAAGGCATAGTTCAGTAAAAGGAAATAGGTTCTTTCTTAAAAATTATTGTGTTATGTTTTGCATTTCAGATAAGAATCACAAGTAATGTAATCTACTAATTCTGTATCGTTTTATTTAAAAAAAAAAAAACTCTAGTAGAATGAACGGAAAATCCCTACAGATGTTCTGCATTCTTTAAGGTGTATTTTGATAATTCTGTTATTCTACAGAACTGCTGCTATATTTTTCATGATGTTCAGATGCTTGTAAATAGTAAACACTGAAGCCAGAGGTGTCAGATGATAATCTCTTTAATCTTTCAATGAAATGATGCTGACAAATTTTAAAGACAGTGCCAAATTAATGTCCTGCTAATTCCACCTTGATCCATTAGTTCTGACAATGATGACCAGTTATTGGGTCAAATAAACTGCTCCTGTCTCTGTGTTGTTGGGGGAAGACTGGTAGTGTGATGTGGAGACCCAGGTTGAAACTGGCAGTTTGTTGTGTGAGGCAGACATGGCATGCAGACATGGCTGTATTGTCTAGTTCCATACACATGGCCACGATAAAAGTATCCTCAAGAGCTTGTGAATGTGAGCTATTCTTGGCTGAAGAGTATCATGAGCAGACAAAGGCAAAGCATGATGATACAGCTACTCAGTTCTTTCAGTCAAATCCAGTTTGGGTTGGATTCCTCAGGGGGAAAAATAAAAAAGACAAAAAAAAAAAAAGGCAAGCCATTTTCTGTCTTCATAAGGTAGGGATTTGGCTCTGAATGCCCAGCGTATATACAAGAAACATCCATGATTGTGAAAGAAATGATTCATACATGCAGCAAAACAAGATTGCAAAGGAAAACAGTTCCAGTGGGAACTGTACTACTGACAGTAAGGCAGTCACAAATAATTTATTTACTACTGTATCAGCTGATCCATATACATATGGATTGAAAGGAAATCACACTGTTAGAAAATGAGAAATAAAACCTGATATAATTTGTGCTACCACATCAAAACTCTAGCCCAAAACCCACCTCTTCAGTCCTGTGTGTACCAAACGCAGGCCCCTCTAAGCTCTCATGGTCCCAAGCAGAGCCTTGATCTGCAAACTCTACCTGCCCTACTCTCTTGCAGAGGTAGCCCAGGTTGTCTTCACTTTGCATCTCTGAAACAAAAGGATAGAAGCTGTGTCTTTTTCTTGGGCTTGTATGATGCTCCTGCTATTGCCACTTGAGGACTTTCTAAGGGTACTCTCATTAAGAAGACAAATTCTGGGCATCTTTACAAGCCCTCTCTAAAATGTCCATTAATTTGCACTTCACTTTCACAGGAAATAAATAAAGAATGGGCTTTAAGGGAAACTGAGTCAGCCATACCCACTTGTTTCCTTTTCTTCCCAACACAACAAACTGAAGCATGTGCTTTCCACCAGTAGGTCATAGCAACTAATTTGATGAACCTATTCTATCATCCAGTTCCATAGTAAACTTTGGAGGTAATGAAACTCCAAACAAAGGCTTCTTGGATTTCCATCCCAATGTTGCCCTAGAGATACAAACACATTTAAGTGTTATTGTATTCGTCAGAAACTTTCCTATATCATGATTGACGCTCTGAAAGAATTTCAAAATTCTGGCTTTATGTTTCTTACACCCATTTCAGTATATGACACAGGAATTGGTAGGACCTTGTGGAGGAAACATTTCAATACCATCTGGGAAAGAAGTTTGAAAAAAAAGCCAAACAAAAACATTTGACCTTGAAGATCTATGGAAATTA